CCTTCAAGTCCCTTGTAAAGACACCCAATTACCGGTACTTACAAGGCGCTTCAGAATTCAGAGGATCACTGCCCCTCCCCGTGCCCGTGCCCGTCCCGGTCTTGGTAAACTTGTCTGCGGCACCTGGCGCGCACGTCTGCGGCCTTTGATCGCCCTGATCGGGGCCCGGCCACGTTCAGCAAACAGCAGCCTCGGCGCCCGTCCCGGCGCGGCGACCAGCTCAGCTCCGTGGCGGGAGCTGGGGGGCTGCTGACGGGGAGCTGGGGAGCTGCTGACGGGGGGCTGGTGACGGGGAGCTGGGGAGCTGCTGACGGGGAGCTGGTGACGGGTGACTGGTGATGGGTGACTGGTGATTGGAGGACGGTGGTGACGGGTGACTGGGGGGGACGGTGGTGACGGGTGACTGGGGGAGCTGGTGACGGGTGACTGGGGGACGGTGGTGACGGGTGACGGGTGACTGGGGGATGGTGGTGACGGGTGACGGGTGACTGGGGGACGGTGGTGACGGGTGACTGGGGGACGGTGGTGACGGGTGACTGGTGACGGGTGACGGGTGACTGGGGGACGGTGGTGACGGGTGACTGGGGGACGGTGGTGACTGGGGGACGGTGGTGACGGGTGCGGAGGCCGTCGCTCACCCACCCAGCCCCGTGTTCGCCGGCCGACCGGCGCGCTCGGCCCCAGGGAGTAGAGTTGCAAAGTTTTCCCAATGGGCTGCTACCGGCACCGCCCCGCCCCACAAAAATTTTCTGGGATACCGGCATGCTACCACGCCCCAAGCAAAAAAAACCGCCAAATTACCGGCATACCGGTAATTTGGCGGTAATTTTAATACGGCATATGGAACTTTTACCACAAAATGTATTTTGCAGTGGCTAAGATTGCTGTTATTACAATTCAATAGCCTCTTAGTATCCAAAGTTTGAATCATATGCTGATAATTTTTTTGTGTGCAAAATCAAAAATACCGGCATGCTACCGGCAAGACATGCCAGATACCACGAAAAAACCTGCGGTGGTGAAAAATTACCGGCATGCCGGTAGTGCGGTAGGGAAATTTTGCAACTCTACCAGGGAGAGACCGGCCGGCCTGAGCCTGTTCTCACAGGAATTAGCCGTCTGCGCCGGCGAATAATCGCATTAAATCGCGGCGGTGAGCCGCTCGGCCGGCGCCGCTGAGTGCCGCACGGGAAGCACCACCTGGCGCCGAGACAGCCGAGCAGAGACGGCGGCGGAGACGACCGAGCAGAGACGGAGACGACCGAGCAGAGACGGAGACGACCGAGCAGAGACGGGGGCGGAGACAGCCGAGCACGGACGGAGGCGGAGACGACCGAGCAGAGACGGAGACGACCGAGCAGAGACGGCGGCGGAGACAGCCGAACAGAGACTGAGACGACCGAGCAGAGACGGCGGGCAGGGCACGGCCGGGGGGGGGCGGACGGCGGGGGAAGGGGTGCACGGCCGGACGGCGGAGACGACCGAGCACGAGCGGGTGAGGGGGCAGTGGAGTACGGGTGAGGGGACGGCGGAGCACGGGTGAGGGGGCAGTGGAGTACGGGTGAGGGGGCGGCGGAGCACGGGTGAGGGGGCAGTGGAGTACGGGTGAGGGGACGGCGGAGCACGGGTGAGGGCGCAGTGGAGTACGGGTGAGGGGACGGCGGAGCACGGGTGAGGGGGCAGTGGAGTACGGGTGAGGGGACGGCGGAGGCGATGGAAGCGCTGATCTGTCTTAAATTTGACGAAGATGAAATAAAATCCGAACTAAAACACATACGAAGCAATAATATGCGCGCAGTAAGTTGTTTTCACCATTGCTATATTTCCGGAAATACGGTCAACAAGTAGTCCCCGACTGCCGCTGTTCGTTTCATCCTCGGTCGCCGCCCGCTCGCCTGCTGTGGGGCCGGCGCGCGTCTGGCGGTGGCGGCCGGCGCGGCTGCCGCTGACGGCCGGAAGATGACGCCCCCCCCCCCCCCCCTACCCGGCGCGGCGGCGGTGCGCGCAGACTTTTTGTGCCGGTTGTCGAGTTTTGCCGCCGTCCCCAGCAGCTGGCGCCGGCCGCCGCCGGCCGCGCACCATCAAAATACTATTTGGCCGATTTGGCAGCCTGAGCGCGCACGGCTGCTGCGCCAGGACCCCGCGGACCTGCGGGATGGAAGGCGGCAGCTGCCCCCCCCCCCCACACACACACCCGTCCCCCGTCCCCCTCAGCCCGCCACCGCGGCCGGCAGAACGGCCCCGGGCTAGGGGAAGATCGCGTCGTACGGGCTTATGTGTGTACGGCATGCACGCATACCTATTCTTGTGGGAAGATAGCTCGTTTTCTTATTTGTTTCGGTGATCTAGGTATATGCTCAGCCACTGAACGACAAAAAAAAAAACTTGAAATCATCAGATGCGACAGCCGACAAGGTTTATGCTGTGCTCAGACCTCGTCAATGAAGGTTTAGAGCGGAAAGTGGCGTCACTTTCCGCTCACCACGCCACGGGCGTCACTTTCCAAAAACATATTGGTAGGTTCTAATGGTCAATTTAGGATACCAAAGCCATTCTTACCATGCAAGGACATAGGGCGTATGTTAAATTCCGAAATTATTGGAAGGACTCAGGCCCTACCAACCCTATACAAAGCAATACCCACGCACCATGCGCTGTTCAATGATAATTTGTGTTTTTATTGATGTGGGCCTCCATAGTTAATAGCTATATTTTCATCAACCAAGTGCGTCACTGCCCATCCGAGTTTATCGCGATGCTATACCGAGTAAGATGGACCAGGGGTTTACGAGTTCTGTTGGCATCCGTATGAGTATTATTGTTTACGTGGGATGTCTCATATTGCATAAAAACCTCTGGCCATTGCAAGCCTGCATACTGCTGAATAGTCAGCTGTTCAGTAGAGCAGGAGCATTGTGTGACCAAAGCAGGTGTAACGCCTAGGTGCATCAGCAGCCAATTACCGGTGACCTAAAAAGTAAATCATAACTAGCGGTGTAAAATTCAGGCGAGGACATAGGGAAACAAGAAAAGAAACAAGCCAGATAGTTTAGACAATGGCATATGACCCATGTTCACGGTGAGATCTGTGTGTGGGGGGGGGGGCGATAGGGGGTGCTCTGCCGGGAGCCGGCCTTGCAGCGCTGCAGGGCGGCAGCTGTGACTCAGGAGGGGCACAGGTGTCCGGCCGGCTGTGCAGGGGCCGCCGGCCGACACCGTACCGCCGGGTACGTCACCGCACAGAGCTGGCGAGCAGCGCCGCAGCGTAACTGCAGCAATATCAGCGCCCCGCCCCGCGCCGGCAGTGGCACGCCGGTGGGAACGGCCGTCAGAGGGGCACTCGGCACCGGAGGGAGCTCTGAGCTCGGCAGCGGGGTCCCTGCCCTCGGCGGCTGGTCCCTGCCCTCGGCGGCTGGTCCCTGACCTCGGCTGAGCTGCCGGGACTCGGGTGCGCTCAGCCTGGCTCATTGTCCTTTTTTGGGAGCATCCGCAGACGGCGGCGGGTACTTACATAACAGAGTAAAATCAGTGACGACACTTTGATCATTTTACGCAATATGTTTTCTCCTGCTAGAATTGCTCTCTTGGAAATTTAATGGTAGATGATGACGATTATAGGCGGCGAAACGGGGAGGGCACCGGGGCACTGCGCCCCCCTTTGATTTTGGCATTTTAACATTAGCCCTATGGGCGTTGCATAGAAAGAATAGGACCAAAAGTCGGCAGTGCCTCCCCTCCCCCTTAATTGAAGGTGTTCCGCCGCTACTGAAGACGATTAATGACATTTTCATCAATGTAGTGCAAAGTTATTTATTACCCTAAGGTCGAACCAGGTGCAGCTGGGGCTCCCTATAAGCCAGTGTGTTTGGGTTGTGGTAGGCGGTTTCAGCGGACTGAGGCGGCCGGTCACGTCGTCTGCCTGCGGTGCGCCGCCCCGCGCGCTGGCCGCCGCTCGCTGCACCATGCTCCGTGTGTGGCGCGGTGCGCTGAGATCGAGCAGTTATTCGGGGCGGGCTGGTCCTGTTCTCTCTGACCGGCCAGTTGTTCGGAGCGGGCTAGTCTGGTCCTCCATGAACGGAGAACGGTGGACAGAGCTCTCACCCCTCCCGCGCCAGAGAGAGGCCTTTGGGTGAGATATTATCCTCCTTGTCGTCCAGCGGAGACCGGGGCTTACAGCATGTCACCAATATGTAGCCCAAATGAATCCCACCAGCTGCAGGCCAATGATGTCGCTATGAATCGGCAGTGAATCACCCGGCCGCGCGTCTTTTGCCTCACACGTGTGACGGCAGCCGGTCGGGGCGTGTCAGCTCCAGTTGGGGCCGTGTGTCAGCGAGGGCGACACTTGTGACGGCAGAACAGATGCGAGCAGAACACATGTCGGCGGGCACAAGTGTATAAACACTGTTCAGGGCCACTTGTAATCCAGAGAGGTAAATTATTCCGAGCGAATCACAAGATAAAGGAAGGACAAATAGGACCAAACACGGTCTGTTTGGGTAGTCGTTAACGGTGACGGCGTATCATGTGTGACAGGTGCCGTTAACGGTGACGGCGTAGGTATCGTGTGTGACGTACCGTGTGTTAGTGGTGTCAATCGGAACTTGAATCTTCGGAATTCCGATTTTGTCCAATGTCCAATTCGGAATTCGGTTGGACAATGACGGCAGGCTTTGAACAACTTTGGACAATCGCTTGCTACACCTCAACATTTTTATAAAGTAATCGTGTTTAACATAGAGTGGCTATAAGAAAGCTCAGCTATCGATATGACTATCACTTTTGAGCTGGTAACGATACCTTAAAAGCAAATTAAATAACGGTGTTGAATGTAAACTATTGCGTAGATGTCGGACATCTTTGGACAAATGGCTGGCTTGGACATTTTTGGACGGACGGTCGACGTAAGTATTGGACATTGGACAGACATTGGACATATGTTTTCTGAAATTGACATCACTACCGTGTGTTGAGCTATGGGCTGAGCGCGCGCCACCTACCTCTGATCCGGTGTCGGTGTGGGTCGCTGGCTATCACCGTGCTGGGCTTCAGTCGCATGTCAGGGTCCTCCTTGACCTTTACTGTCTCCATTGGACCTGAAAAGAGTAGGTCGCCGCGTTAGAAATTAGCGCTACTGCGGACTGCCCATGCTAATTGTCACATTTAACTACTTTTTATTATTTCATAGACGGATTGATATAAATGGGAAGGACAATGGGACTTCGAAGTGCGAACGTCTCCACTCGCCACCGTTCGACCACGATTGTACTTGGATGTAGTTATTTTTATATGGTGTGATCAAGAGATTATTCCCGAATGTACGTAACCAATTTGATATAAAAACAGCACGTTCCTATTGCCTTTCCTATTTATATCACATTTAACTGCCTAATTCTTACATTTCGCAAAATGCATGTCAAGGAGAAAATAGATATCTACCTTCGTCGCGAGGAGACATTTTTTACATCAAACTTTTCATACATATTTTAGGTTTAATTTCATGTGATTGTTCAATAGATCATGCCTATACATATCCACTTGAAATTCCAGCATTAGAACCACCACATCCACATGCTTATATCTATGTAGGTACAGACGCATGTGATATGGTACCGTTGATGATTTTGACACGATTTAGCACTGTGATATGGTACCGTTGATGATTTTGACACGATTTAGCACAAAATGTCGGGGCCCGGCGAAATTCCCTCGTTCTGATGACCGATAATTCCATCACCAGTCGGTGCGCGCACGACCGTTACGGGTGCTGTGTGACGCATATACATATAGGAAAAATACATAGTTACCGCCTCTGGGGAATAGAGAGAGCGGATATACGGGCCGGGGGCTGGGCGCACCTGCACCGGTCACTGGACAGTAGACTAGCCCGGCGCACACGGCGGGCCAGCGGGTCAGTCTAACCCACAGGGGACCAGCGCTCGGCGGAGACTGGCCGGCCGGACGGACCGACCCACGGACCGACCCACGGACCGACCCACGGACCGACCCACGGACCGACCCACGGACAGACCCACGGACAGACCCACGGACAGACCCACGGACAGACAGACGAACAGACTAGCGGGCAGCGTCGCTAATGCAATGAACGATTGGGACATGCTACGACAGAACGACTGACTGAGCCACGAGCTTCCTAACTAATGGGACTTTGTGGCTACGAAACGTCTGCCGCTAAAATACGTCATTCACAAGGAGTTTATGCTTAACAACGCTTACGTCGTCCTTTATTTTTCAATAATTTTGCCTCGTGGCCAGGGTTTGCGCAGCCAAGTTCGCTGTCTAATTCATATCACATATGTCTGATTCCGATGTCGCCGCCAGCCGTACCGCAGCGCCCCCTGAACCAGCCCGGCCTCTAGCGTTTCTCCAAAGCTCGACGGGCGGCTCCAGTGGGGTTCCAGCGCCGTCCCCGCCGCAGTTACCCAACACAAGTGCCGCAGCAAATACGCCAGACACCGGCACCAAATGAAGGCGCAGCGGCCGCCAACGGCCGGGGCCGCCGCCGCCGCGCTGGCCGTTCTCCGCCGCCCCCAGCGGGCGCGTCCCGCCCTCAGCGGCCGCTTTAGCCGCCGCGCTGGCCGGCCAGCTTCGGGCGGCATTTTTCAGCCGGCCACACAATTGGGAGCGGCATCTGGCCGTCTCGGACGCCCAGTTCCGTCGGCCAACGATCGGCGCGGCGCCTCGGGCACCAGATGTGCACCCCCCTCCCCTCCCCTCCCCCAGCGGCCCCCTCTGCGACACTCGCTCGCTGCCATCCGACCAGCGGGGCATCAGCTGGCGGCGCCGTCTGATTAGATGAGTTGCCATGACAACCGTTGGGCACGTGCAGCTGAGCACCGTGCAACATCTGGCGGTGCGGCGTGACGTCACCGGCGGAATATCCGCGCCGGTGCGGCAACAGGTCACCGCGGACGCAGATACACTGCCAGCGAATCGGACAGCCAACTCACAGTGTTGTGTAGGGGAGAGTGGGGCAATGGCGACACCATAAGCATTTTGCTCAATAGCTTAGATATTTGAAGCTATGTTATGGTGATTTTGACTGTGGTTATAGCCAAAGGAATAGGCTTTCAGATAACACCCAGTTTTAGTATCTCAGATCACTGATGACAGATTCAGAGCCTACGCGAAAATGTGGTGAAAAATGGAGGTGCAAAAAAGCGAGGGGTAATGCCGGCCACTAAGTGCAATAGCACAAAAAGTCGAAATATCGTCACTGGTATTCATCCTTAAACCGTTCTTTCGATGGAAATTTAAGTGAGAATTAAGAAACGACAACTGTATTCAGCAGTTAACAGTACACTGCACTGCAACACAACACTGCACTCGCTGCAACACAACAGCGCAGCGCCAACAGAGCAGCAAACTAACACAACCGTAAACACAGCAAGGAAACTAACACAGCCGTAAACACAGCAACCCGAAACGTTGAGCTTTAACCCTAGAACGCCTAGGGGGGGGGTTGTATCAACCCCCCCCCCTGAGGTTTTTTCGAAGTGCACGCTAAACGGCTTGTCGTAGCGGGCTGAAATTTTCAATACCCTCTGGGGCAACCTTTGCGCATCTTTTGCCGAAAAAAAATTGATCGGGTCATGTCAGGTCACGGAGTTATGACGTCATAAGAGGTACAGCCTCCGGCCGGATTTTCACAAACTGAGTGCCAACGCCCGAGGTTTCCTGCCGGTGGTACGGACATCGGTTGATGGATCGTGATGAAACTTCCCATGCATGTTGGGGCAAGTATTGGCTATCATATGATATAAGAAATTTGACCGGGTCAGGTCAGGTCACGGAGCTATGACGTCACAAGAGGAACAGCGTCCGGCACTATTTTTGAAAAGCGCCCTAATCACTATTTTGCTAATTCTTGTCACCTCAATGGGAATATGCAGCAATATTAGCTTCTCTAGGGAGCAAATGGACCTCCCAAATCCAAAAATACAATCAGATTTCAAAAATTTAAATTTTGATTTTTCGAATTTCTGCCGCCGACTGTGACCTTGCCGACTTCCGGCGCTCCCAACGCGCCATTTTTAGAGCTAGGGAAACGAAATACATACCAAACGATAGAGAATTGATCAAGGAACACGATAGTGAAGGTTTCAAGTCGATATCTCCCACCGTTTTGCCGCAATCGCCGCCGAAAGTTGAAAAAAGTCTATTTTTCCGAAAATTTGACCTTTGACCGGTCAAAAGTAGGTCAAATGTTGACCTAGGACCAAAAAATATACCACCAATCGCGAGATCTCGTTGAGAGCAATCCGTTGGTTTTTTCCGCTAAGCTCTACGACCTTCCGTTTCGAAACGCCAGGGGGGGGTCGTAACAACCCCCCCCTGGTCGTTCGTGTTATGAGAAATGGCCTGGTCGTGCGAGGGTTAACGACAGAAGTCGCAACCAAAACCGCGTGGAGTCATTCCGGACACGTGTCCGGTATTACCCCGAGGTCAGCTTTATTTTAAGAAAGCAGGCAGCAGTCAAAGGCATTGTGCCACAAACACCTCAAATCCAGCAGTCGCCTAAGAAAGGCTTAATTGAAGGTCATTGCAAAGCAGCACTTCTGAAAATGCGTTAACACATTTCACAGTCAGCAAATAGATGCAACAAAAATTAAAAATCAGATACGAAAAACACATTTAACGCTATAAAAATGAAAATAATGGAGCTACTGTGACAAACTTGCACCACGTGCTAGAATGGCGCTCAACTGAAATGTAAACAACATCAGCTGATTAGTGATGGACAAAGTACTCACTAGAGATGGGTGGCCGGCATTACCCACCGTCCGCCATTGCCCCGCTCTCCCCTATAACTAACCAGCTCAGAGCCGCTCAGCCGGCCCCACAGCCTGGTGCAGTCAGAACTGCGAGGTCGCCTAGCACACGGTGGGTGGTAGCTGCCTGCGGTCATGTTCAGTCATTCTACGGTGACTGGTGAGTGGTGACTCAGGTAGAGACACATCAGACACCAACGTCCCATAATCAGCAGACACACCAGTCGCTGGTGGGCCGCGCGACTGTCAGGAAATCACCGCGACTTCAGTGCGAGCGCTAAATGCACGCTGAGGGCCGCTGGGACGCGCCGTGTCCGTCCGACATGTCCCGGCGGCTGTTCCACGCCTACAGCAGGAGAGCCGCGCGCTCCTACATCATGTCCTGGAGAATCTTTGGCACTCTGCCACATACAGCACTCCCCTCACTTCGGTATGTCCATAGCGGATTGAATAAGGCACGGTGAATTCAGACCGAGGAAATCGTCGCAAACGCGACTAAAAAATGGCCATTGACGATGCTCAGAAATATGCATCGATGGCCCATGATCACTAACGAGACGGCATGTTTCATATTTCGTCAATCAGAGATGGACAAACATCATAGATATTATCCTACACTAATTTCAAATCGGATACTGAAAATAATGTCATAAAACAGCCGCTACATTTACAGAATTTCAAATTGCGTTGCCTCTGGAAGTTTTGGGCGACGAACAGCGGGGAGGGCCGACCGACAGCGGGGAGGGCCGACGAACAGCGGGGAGGGCCGACCGAAAGTGTGGGAGGGGCCGCCGTGCACCTGGTCAGGGTGGGCGGCCGACACCTGTCCGCGGTCGTCTTTCCCCTCCCCCTCCCCCCTCTCAGCTGCCCACGCCGATGGCTCGGCCACAATCAGCGCGGCCCCCTCGCGTGCTCGCTCCCGCTGCTCTGGTGAGGTGCTCGCAGCGGCGCCTCACACAGACTGACTCGGCTTTCAGTTCAGCTGCGTGGCGGCAGGCCCTGCTGAAAGTCGTGGTGTACGGCGTGCTGGTGCAAATGAACGCCGAGCTAATGAATATTAGGGTCGGACACGAGAGCGGCGAAGATTTGTAGCCGCGGCCATCCCTTGCCGACCGGCGGCGGGCGCAGCTGAGTCTCCCGACCCGACCCGGGCCATCCTCCTGGCCCGGGGCGGGGCGGGACGTCCTCCCGACCCGGGCCGTCCTCCCGACTGTTGTGTCGGCAGAATGCGATAGAATACGATGTGACGACACGGGCCCGAGGCCTTTCTCATTCGGGAGGGAGGGAGGGGGGCTAGCGGCACG